ATTTGTTATTTTATATTTCCATAGACAAGCGCGCCGACACAAAAACTCAATTTACTCCTGTGTCAAGTAAAGGTGAGTGTTTGGCCTGTAAAATTCCTATCCTGGTAAATTTATGAACTATCATAGATGAATAGAAATTGTTTTTATTTTAGGAAGACGCAGAGGGAAAGAAGCATAGTTTTTCATTAGTGTCTCGTAAGTACCGACACAATTTACAAAATCTGCATTTGACAATACTTCCTAAAGGGGCTAGAATTTAATTTCCCATAAATCACCCCACATCATGATGACGTCATGGAAGTGTACAACCTGAGCAACACTCATTTGTTTGATGATGCAAACTAATTCTTAGTTTGTTTGACTAAAATACATTTAACATACAGATAACAGGACGTTCCTGTTTCAAGCCGAAGACGAAGCTGATTTAAGCGCGTAAGTTGGACTTGTTTGATAAGACAACAACATCAACAACAACAACAACAGTAACAAAACAACAACAATAACAGCAACATCAACAGCAGCAACAACAACAGTAACATCAACAACAAAACAACAACAACAACATCAACAGCAGCAGCAACAACGATAGCAACAAAACAACAACAATAACAGCAACATCAACAGCAGCAACAACAACAGCAACATCAACAACAAAAAAAAACATCAACATCAACAGCAGCAGCAACAACGACAGCAACAAAACAACAACAATAACAGCAACAGCAACATCAGCAGCAACAACAGCAACATCAGCAGCAACAACAGCAACAGCAGCAGCACCATAAACAGCTGCAACAAGAACAACAACAATTGGGACACCAAGAGACAAAGAATCCCAACCAACCACAATACGCGCTCATGTTATTGTTTACATACGTTTAAATGCGTCAAGCATACAATAGATTACATAGTTTGATAGTACCTGTGAGGTACTTAGTTAAAGGTATTTCTGTACAAACTGATGGTAGAAAATTCGCGCCCACTTTAAGAAATCCTACGAATCCGCCATTTTCGTGTCCACCTAAATGTGATTCTTTACACAACCTTGATAGCAATAGAAAGATTTAATAAGAATCATAACGTGTGTGTCTTTGTTAGGTGGGTGTCTGTCATAAGCAATAGCAGGACAGAAGCATTAGAGAAAGCATTTGGTGACAACGATAACGAGGTACTAGACCTAT